TCAACATTAAATAGGAAAAACAATTAGCTAGCATTTACACCCTAAGATTAAAGTGCCAGCTATACACGGATAAATCCATGTCTCCACTACGTATTGAGAAAAAAGAAAGAATTCTCAACATTATTGAATCATGAGGAAGAACGACACGCTTTTCGATTTTGGATGTGCTTCTTCTTTGTATACAGAGAATTTGTTGAATTTGAGAAAGAATGACACTATTTTGGATGTGTTTGTTGTTCTTCATCATCAGAGAATTTGTTGAATTTGTAGAAGACTTTGGATGTGCTTCTTGTTGTTGTTGTTGTTCTTCTTCTTCTTCTTCTTCTTCTTCTTCTTCAAGGCTTTGAGAGAATGTTGAGCTTGGCATAGGTTTTGTATTTTCTTTGATTCTTCTCTCTCTTAGTCTTAATGTCTCTCCTTTGTTCTCCATTCCTCTACCTCTATTTATAGGCTTCATGAAGAGGTAAGACTGTAACATACTTCACCTTTGATAATTACCCAACTTATTTGTGATAATTATCATGATAATTATGAATAATTATTCTTGTGATTATACATAATTATCTTGTGACCCATTTCAGAAGTGGGTCTGGATTTAGGTAATTTAGTTTGACCCATTGGTTTATAGTTCATGGTGGGTTGAATTGAGGGTAGGCCCATATTATTTTTTGACATTACACAATTTTTTAGTCTCAACAGACCCATTTTTGGGTCGGTTTCAATTAGGGTTGCAAGTTGGGCGGGTTAGCACAGCCCAACCCGATTCCTACCCGATTTTTTTTAGGCTGGGCTTTCAGTTTTAGAAGTTAGGGTTGGGAATTCTCAATCTGGGCTTAATTTGGGTTGGCATCGGCCCTTTCGGCAACTACTTGCGGCCAATGTTGTTAAAGGTATGCCTAGGCTCGAGGCTCAATTTTAGCGCCTGTTGTCATCCCAGACTCACTGATGTTTACTAGGCGTGCGCCTTGGTTGCGCTTCATCCTGTTTGTGAGGTGCGCCTAGGCACGCTTCACTGATAGTTGTTTAAAAAAATACGATTGTTCTATTTCTTAAGCCAAAAAGGGTACTTTTGGCAACTTAATAAACAAAAAAGAAAGCTCAATCATATAATATAAGGAACTTTTGTTCAAAAGAATAAAAAAATAAGAAAGCCCAAGAGTCAAAGTGTTAACTGAACAACGATATAATAAGATTGTGAGACGAATACAAAGCCCTAGTTGCAGAGATGAACGATGAAGCCACGTCAGTTCTTTCTTTTCTTTTTCTTTTTCTCTAGATCTCTCTTCTCCTCTAGATCTCTCCTCCTCTAGATCTCTCCTCTCTTCTTATCTTTGTTTACATCTCTCTCTTCGTCTAGTTCTCTCATCTCTCTGTCTTTTGTTTTTTTGCTCTGTTTTTTTTTTTTTTTTTTCTTGTTAACAATTTTTTTTTTTTTTTTTTTAACATATTTATTTCTTTTCGTGCTGTGTTTTGCCATTCAAAAAACACATTTTGCTTTGCCTTTCAAGAAAACAAATTTGTGCTCTGTTTTATGGTTGTTGGATGCTTATATAGTTGATGGATTTACTTTTTTATATTTGATATTAAGTTTTAGAATATTGATATGACTTATGAAATATGAATGTTATTATGGTAGTTTAAATTTTCAATTATGCGCCTCACTTCACTCAGGCGCACGCTTCGCTGTGCGCCTCTCGCCTAGGCTTCAAAGGACCTCTAGTGCCTTGGTGCGCATTGGGCCTTTAATAACTATGCTTGCTGCCCTTTCGGCAACCCCCAAAGAATTTTTTTTTTCCTTCTCAAAGAAGAAGCCACCACCACGTGCCGCTGCCTACCTCCTCCTCTGCCGACACCGTTTCCCTCCTCTGTCGCAACTGTCTTCCTCCCCTCCTCTGCCTCTGCCTCTTGCTTCTAAACTTGTTGCTAGGTTTCTAAATTGGGTATCTTATTTCTCTTGGCGGAGAGTTATATAGCTGACTACCCATTCTCATTTGATTTTGTCATCCGGTGGCTCAAGAGCTGAGCCCCAAGTAATTGATTTAATAGATTAAGGGTCGAACTCATCTTTCATTATACAATATTTGTATAATCTTAAATTTGGGTTGTTTGGCTGTGATGGTGTGGTTGGGAGTGGGTGATGAGAAAAAAAATGATGTAGGCAAAGGGTGTTGTTTGGTTGTGATTTTTTTTTTTTAACAGATCTTTAAATTGATTGATGGCGAAGAGTATTGACTGATGCAGATAAGCGGTCGTGTTGTTTGGCTTTGATTGTTTGTTTTGGGGGTGGGTGATGAAAATATATATATATATATTTGGTCAACTATATTTGAAACTCAAATTAAAGATTTCAAATCTTTTTATTTTTCTTGTTTGGGAGAGAAGAAAGAGGGGCTGAATGTTTCTAGGGTTTGATGAGATCCTTTAGATGCAAGAATGGACGGTTAAGATTAACTTATAATTTTTTTTTTTAAGGATCAATTGTGGTGAATATGTGTAATACGCACGTAGGAGGGAGATTAAGCTGCCCAATCTGAAAAGGTAAGTAATACATTGTCTTTTCAATACTAAAAAATATCAGTAATAGTAATAATATAAAAAGAAGAGAAAAGAGAGAATTGCGTAAAGGCTTGAATGAGATGAATTACCCATTCACAACTCTAGTATTTATAGATAAAATGAGCACATGCTCATATTACAAGAAAGGAAACAAAATCAAATCATTGCATATTCTATGTCTAGACATATGCGTAAATAAAGTCAAATACATGATTAGTGGCTATCATATCTCACAGATAATATGGTAAATCACATCCCATGATTTGGGCCTATCATATCTCGGCTATTATGGTAAGTTATACCATAAATCGTGGTATCATAAATGCTAACACTCTCCCTCAAGTTGGTGCGTGGATATCTGAAATGCCCAACTTGGACAATGCATTCTCAAACACAATCTTGCTGACGCCCTTTGTAAGAATGTCTGCAAGCTGCTGAGAGCTTGTGACAAATGGAGTGCAAATTTGACCAGAGATGATCTTCTCTCGAATGAAGTGACGGTCCACCTCTATATGCTTAGTCCTGTCATGCTGAACAGGATATGCTGCTATACTAATGGCAGACTTGTTGTCGCAGTAGAGTGAGAATGAAAGCGACACTGGAAGGCACAAGTCTGTCATCAAGGTTTTCAGCCAAAGCAACTCACCTACCCTAAGAGCCATAGCCCTATACTCTGCCTCTGCACTAGATCGAGAGACAACATTTTGCTTCTTACTGCGCTAAGTAACCAAGTTACCACCAATAGTGGTACAATAACCTGAAGTAGACCTCCTATCTGAAATTGATCCTGCATAATCAGCATCTGTCCAAGCCTCAACACGTAAGTGACCATGATTAGCAAACAAAATACCACGGCCTGGACACCCTTTTAAGTAGCGAAGAATCCGAATAGCTGCATCAAGGTGTGGGGCATGAGGAGAGTGCATGAATTGACTCACGACACTCACGGCATAAGCAATGTCAGGTCGAGTCATGGATAAATAGATGAGCTTCTCCACAAGTCGTTGATACTGACCAATATCTGACAACAACTCCCCCTCAGAATCAGCCAACCGATGATTCTGCTCAATCGGAGTATCAGCAGGACGAGCGCCAAGCTGACCAGAAGCAGAAAGCAAGTCAAGAACATACTTGTGTTGAGAGATGAAAATGCCAGTCTTGGAGCGAGCCACCTCAATGCCCAAGAAGTATCGTAGGGGACCAAGATCCTTAATCTCAAACTGACGGCCAAGATAGCTCTTAACCTCATTAATTCCGGTAGTATCATCGCCGGTAAGAATAATATCATCAACATACACAATGAGAACAACTGTCTTACCGTCTGAATGACATAAAAACAAGGTATGATCAGCTGCACTTTGATGGAAACCAAACTTGAGCATAGTAGTGCCAAAGCGATCAGACCAAGCTCGAGGAGACTGCTTGAGGCCATATAGAGAACGACGAAGACGACATATCATACCAGAATGAGCAGGAGAACGAAAGCCCGGAGGAGGAACCATGTACACCTCCTCCTGCAAATCACCATTAAGAAAGGCATTCTTGACATCTAACTGAAATAGAGGCCAAGATCGAATTGCAGCAACGGAAAATAATACACGAATGGTATTCATCTTGGCAACAGGGGCAAAAGTCTCTTGATAATCTATGCCATAAGTCTGAGCATAACCCTTGGCAACCAATCGGGCCTTGTAACGAGAAACTGACCCATATGGATTATGCTTGACTGTAAACACCCAACGATAACTCACAGCCTTTCGTCTAATAGGAAGCAGAACTATGTCCCAAGTCTGATTTTTCTCAAGTGCTTGTAGTTCTTCTGTTATAGCATCACGCCATTGAGGTTGTGCTAGCGCATCTGTAACACTGGAAGGAACAGGAACCGAGGCAACAAAAACAAGAAAAATCCGATAGGAGGGTGAGAGAGCATAATCAGAAACAAAATTAGAAATAGGGTAAGTACAAGAACGTTTATCCTTTCGAAGAGCAATGGGGCGATCATCAAGAGAAACAATAGCTTGAGAAGGCGGAGCTGGTGCCGAAGGAACAGGGCAGTCGATCGTGGGAGTAGAAGCTTGTACCTGTTGTCTCCGATTATAAACCTGTGAAAAAGGAACAATTCCCCCTGCTGGAGGGGTATCACGAGGAGGAATTATAGAAGAAGAAACAGGTAATGGTAGAGGAGTTGAAGACGGAAGAAGGTGATCATCCATTATATTCAATGGGAACCATTCACTCTGAGAACCAACTGAACCACTATAGTATGGTGTATGCTCAAAGAAAGAAACATCCATGGATATAAATCGCCGACGACTGGGAGGATGGTAACACCTATAACCTTTTTGAGAGTGAGAATAGCCCAAAAACACACACTTCAAAGCCTTGGGGTCAAGCTTTGTACGAGTTTGCCCCAACTGCTGAACAAAGCACACACACCTGAAGACTCATGGAGGAATCAAAAATAGAGATGAATTGGGATGTAAGATTGAGAGTGGGGCTGCAAAGTTAAGAATCCTAGAAGGAGTCCTATTAATTATGTAAACAGCGGTAAGAACGGCGTCTCTCCAAAATGACTGGAGAACATTTATGCCAATGCAGATTACTCTGGCTAAGTCAAGGATGTGGCGATTCTTTCTCTCAGAACGACCATTCTGTTGAGGAGTTTTAACATTAGCCAGCTGATGCGCAATCCCAAATTCTGTACATAACTGTTATACCTCCCCATAAGTGTACTCTGTACCCTGGTCAGATCGGAATTTTTTTATGGTACGACCAAATTGAGTCTGAACCATTGTCATAAAATTTTTAAAAATGGTGTATACCTCATTTTTGGTTTTCATAAGATAAACCCAAGTAACACGACTATGATCATCAATGAACAATACGAAATATCGAAATTCAAGACTAGAAGTAACTGGGCAAGGACCCCACAGATCTGAATGAACAAGATCAAAGGGTGTTAAAGCAGATTTATTACTACTAGCGGGATAATTGGAACGAATATGTTTAGCCATATGATATGTTTCACAGGATAAATCTGACACTGTCACGTTACAAAATAAGGAAGGAAATAAATGTTTCAAATAACCAAAAGAAATATGTCCTAAATGCATGTGCCAACGCATAAGCTGGGCTTTATTAGATGAAACAATATTAGAAAATGAAGCTGAATGTGCTTGCAGTGACAAAGGAGCATCCAACAGGTATAAACCGTTCACTTCACGCCCACTGCCAATCGTCCGTTTCGACACCAGATCCTGAAAAATACAATGAGAGGGAAAGAACGTTACACTACAATTTAATTGTTTGGTAACGCTACTAACAGAAATAAGATTTGTAGTCAACTTTGGAACATGAAGTGTATTTGACAAAGTTAATGAAGGAGTAACTGATATGTGACCCTTCCCAGCAATGGAAGATGGAGAGCCATCCGCAAGGCGGACCTTGCGTTGGCCAGAGTAGATACTATAAGATTGGAAGAGTGAGGACATACCAGTCATATTGTCTGAAGCACCAGAATCAATGATCCATGGTGTTGAAGATGTAGATACGCTACGTGCAGACCCAATAGTACCTGAGTGGGCATAAGTGGAGGTTGGTTGAGATGATGCCTCCATTGGTTGAAGAATTGCTTGAACTTGTCCAAATCAGCTTGAGTCAAGGTAACTGTGGCAGAAGATGTAGAGGCAGGGTTGTCAGGAGTTGACAACGAGACTGGTTGTGTAACAGAATGTGCAGAGGATTGAGGCTGTTGTTTCTGTTGCGGTGGACGTCCATGTAGAGCATAACAACGAGATTTGATGTGACCAATTTTTCCGAAATAGTCACACCGTCCACGTTGTCGTCCCAGAAGAGGACCGGTGGTAGTGCTCTGAACTGACTGGGATGGTGAAGTTCCTAAAAGGTTGGGAATCCGAACTGCCATAGCAGAACGATCAACAGAAGCAATACCTAATGGATGAGTCCGGCGGCTCTCACCTGACAACACATAGGAATATGCATCCTCAAGAGTAGGGAATGAAGATAAGCCCAATAAATGAACACGAGCATACTTAAACTCGTCGTTCAACCCGGTAAGAAACTGAAACACTCGATTCTTCTCTACAATTCCTGCATATAAAACTGCATCATCTGGATCCTTCCAAGAGTGGAAGGAATCATAATATGACATCTCCTCCCAAATAGCACGAAGCTTGGCGATGTAACCTGAAACGGTCAAGTCACCCTGAGAAATCCTGGTGATATCTCGCCCCAGCTGGAAAATTCGTGCATTATTTTGCCTCTGAGAATAAGTGCGTTGAACTGAATCCCAAATCTGCTTAGCAGTCTTCATAAACATATAGCCAACAGCTATGTTTGGTTGCATCGAATTGACTAGCCAAGACATATCCATAGCGTTATCTGCAAACCATTGTGGATATGCCTTCTCTGACTCAGCTGGCTCTTTCTCAGAACCAGTAATATAGCCAATCTTGCCTTTGCCACCAATGAACATCTTGGCAGACTGTGCCCAAATCAAGTAGTTGGAACCATCCAACTTCACTGTGGTGATTTGAAGTCCTGGATTTTCTGATGAGTTGGTGGGAAAAATGGCACCACCACCTACAGAACGTTGCCAAGAGAATTAACAGTCGAGGATCCTGAATCTGCCATAATCTATCACACGACAATAAAAAGAACTCCAAAAACACCACAAATTCTGTTCATAAATCAAAGGGTCTCCTCAGACCATAAACAATGTCTCCTCAGACCATTCCCAAAAAATCCAAATACATACCTTTTTTAAGGAGCGCTGCCCGCTTACATATAGCCAGACAGCTTCCTTCTTAATATTCGGAACCTCTTTGTAAACTAATTTTTTTTACCTAAACCCTTCTAGGTGTTGGAAACCAACTATCCTAATTTACCCAACCCTAGAAGAGTGAAAAAGAAATTGTAAAACTTAAAAATACTTGTTTTCGATCACAAAACAGCAACACAGAAAAACATGTGTAGGCAACGTCACACGATGTCACAAACAGCCTAAGGTAGTTATCGCACAAGTAGCAAGGCTGCTGAAAGGTGTGGAAAGGTGTTGGCTCTGATACCAAGTAGAAATATAAAAAGAAGAGAAAAGAGAGAATTGCGTAAAGGCTTGAATGAGATGAATCACCTATTAACAGCTCTAGTATTTATAGATAAAATGAGCACATGCTCATATTACAAGAAAGGAAACAAAATCAAATCATTGCATATTCTATGCCTAGACATATGCGTAAATAAAGTCAAATACATGATTAGTGGCTATCATCTCACAGATAATATGGTAAATCACATCCCATGATTTGGGCCTATCATATCTCGGCTATTATGGTAAGTTATACCATAAATCGTGGTATCATAAATGCTAACAGTAATATATATATATATATATATATATATATATATATATATATATATCTTTGGCCTTTACAATGATATTTTTTAAAAGAATTTAAAATTAAATTCAAATAGGGAAAAAGAGAAAAGTTATTTTGGAAAAAAAAAGAAAAGAAAAGGGTTGACCCAGAGCTCGACTTGTGAATTTTCGGATTGGGTCTCACGGGTTGAAGCCTAGGTTTGGATTACATCGGGTTGGCCCAACTCAACCCGAAGTTGGGTTGAGGTTGGGCCGGGCTGGGCAGGCCCAAGTTACACCTCTAGTTTCAATTGAGTAGTTCCTCGACTTGACTTGACCTTAGATTAATTAATTAGAGTTGACTAGATCATGTAATTTGACTAGTTGACAAGGGTAGACCATTAAATCTATTGTATAATTTGACTATTTAAATTAATATTAGATTATAACCAAATATGATATTTAAATTCAAATTAATATGAGCATGTATGGATAAGGTACAATGATAAAGCATATAAGTAAAAACTATTCCCTCTATCCCAAAGGAGTTGGGTGCTTTCCAACTATTTTGGGACGGAGGGAGTAGATAATATGTCACATGTGGCAGGATAATGAGTTAATTAATTGTTCTTACTAATGATAAAGAAGAATTTTAAAGTGAAATCCTAGATATGGTGAGAATAACAAAAATAAATTTGACATAATTGATTACTACAACAACAACCAAACCTTTAGCATGTAATCCTTGCGAGCCTAATTGAGACATTGGTAAATTTCGTGTGATCCATTTCTGCTCAGCGTGCCTTGGCTGGGCATGCTATTCCTATAACTCGCAGCACATAATGTGACCCAGTAACCATAGAACTTTTGCATCAACAGCCCGAAAAAAATGATCTAAATTTAGAATTCTGGTCGCATTATGCACTGCAATATGTGGAGGAGCAGAAAATTGAAGAGTATGTAAACTTGCACATTCCCATACCTCCTGCTTTCTGTACACTATGGACTTCCCATGTGCTTTCGTAGGAATTATCTTCCATCCTCTCTTTGTTTATATGGTTTATTTTTCAGTTGACTCATTTTCTATGAAGTGTTTGATTTAGTTCCCCCTTCAATATATTGAGACATATTTGGCAGCTTCGTATCAACATTGTTGCAGTTACTCTGATGAAAATATTCGATTAACTTATTTATGTTACTTTGCATTATATTTTGGATAACATGCTTAATTACGGTTCTACGCCACATACCAGAATTATATGAATACTCTAGTTAGGATGTTTGAGAGTATGAGAAAGCAAATGATATATCAAATCATCTGACATTTGATGCCCAAGTCTGTGTTATAAGTTCCTGTATTCATGGTAGCAACCACTTTCTTTACTTGAACTCAATTTATCTTTCAAGTGGCCTGCCTGATCTCCGATGAGGCTTTTGCTGTTGGTACTTGTAAACCATAAGAGCAATGGCGATGAGCCCAAGTAGCATAGGATGGACATGGTTAGCTCTTCTATATGAGTACGTGGAGAACAATTTCTGGATCCGCTACTAATAAAGATGAAAACATAGAGTAGGAGAAGTTGCATGATATTGTGATTGTCATAGCTGAAGGTTTTGCACATATACACGGAATACTGCCAGCAGCGGATAACCCATTGTGACATAGAGCCTCAAATTGTTCTTCTGAATGTGAGCTTCTGCCCTAAGGTGGCTGATTCTGGATTGGCGAAAGATCTGTGACCAAGAGAAATTAAAATCCACCTGACACTCACAGGAGGTATAGGGACTCCGGGATATGCTGCACCACGGTTTGGGATGCCATTTCCTGTCACTCATAAATGCAATGTTCACAGTTTTGGGATGCTTTTGTTTGAGATGTTGGGAAGGAGAAAAAAACCTGGATTTAAATCTTCCTTATAGTCAGAAATTATTTCCGAAATGAGTTTGGGAGAAACATGAGAAATGTTGATACATTCCTGTTACCAACAAGAAGTGTGTCCGGAACTCCAGAATTGATGAAGATAGACTGTGGAAGGAGGCAACGGTGGTCAGCACGGCAGAGAGGGTGGTGCTCTATAGGGCTTTGTGGTAAGAAGCACAAGAGAAGTTGGGTCATGTTTTTGCATCTTCACAAATCTTTGTTTGTGGAAAGAGAAATGAAAAAGGAATCACCAGGGAATTTTGTCAAAGTATTCTCTCTCACAACAGGGTTTCTTTGCCTATTTGCCGGATAGGGATTGAACAAAATTTCATGGAAATGAATATAAATTCACATACTTCTCAATTTTGCATGGAATTCCATATTCATCCCCCCTATAACAGGAAGAATCCACAAAAATTTTCTTCTTAATTTCCTTTCTTTTGAGGGGTTGACCTCATTATAGCTTTCTTCTTAATTTCAAACTTCTCAACCAAACAGAGTAAACTAACTTCTTTCTGTTTCCTTCTTTTGTTCTCTCTAATTTACATAGCATACTCCAACAAAATCATCAGAATGAACTCCTACTAGGGATCTCCTAAACCTGATTGATTAATCAATCAACTTGTTGAAGCTTAGCATGAAAATGACTTTAAAACACTCATTCAAATTGCTTCCAAATGCAAGTGAGAATGAGATTTTTATAGGATTTAATTACTGAATGAAGCAATATCTCTCTATTAGTTCACATATGAAATGCTGCTGCTACATAAAAATTTCCAGTGATGATGATATTCATTATTTCTATACGTGTAAATCTTTCCATTTCTTTCATCTCTTCGATGTTGCCACAACCTCCTCCTACGCCTCTATTCATGGCTGTGCCTATTATACCAAAAAAAAAAAAAAAAAAAAAAAAAAAAAAAAAAAAAAAAAATTTGTCCAAATCCCAGTCCAAATCAAGCTGCTGCTTCACTACTTATTTGATCGGTCGCTCAATTGATCTATCCTGGTTTTTATTTTTACTATGCACCTTTTCACCAAAAATGTATTATGCAGTATTGTTTTGGGTTCAGTTGTAGCGTTTTTTTTTTTTTTTATCTATTTGTAATTTTGTACATGGAGTTTCTTTGTACATCCTTGTTCGTTACTTTGGTTGGACAAGAGGTGGTGATGGCAACAGACGGGTATGGAGCATTTTGCCTAAATCCATTACGAGATGAGTGTACACGGGCATGCTCCGATCCGCTCCGTTTACATTTTATTTTTTATTTTTTATTTTTTTTTCCTGTATAAATAAATTAATAACATAAGGGATTTTTACGTATAAATGGAGTTAGTGAGCCATCTCGTAATGGAGTTAGTGAACATAATTATTTTCACAAAAATGAGTTTGACCTAAATGATGACATGGCACATGAAGTTTTACTGTTTAAAATTTTTGTTGCCTAAAATGCCCTTTTCCCTATTCCAATGCATTTACCTTATTACCCTTGTTTAGAAAACATGGTGCCTGGAGGCCAAAAAATGGTACCTTCAGTTTAAAAACGTGGTACCTTTAGAACAAAAGTGGTTCCTTCGTAAAAGAGACTTATTTTTGCAATTGAAAATGGCATTAAATCCTACACCGCTAATTAAGTTACATATTACATCCATAAACAGCTCCATTAGTGTCATGAATAACACAAAATATTCTCCAAGCTAGCTAAGCGAGTATTTAGAAAACATGGTACCTGGAGGCCAAAAAATGGTACATTCAGTTCAAAAACGTGGTACCTTTAGAACAAAAGTGGTATCTTTGTAAAAGGAACTTATTTTTGCAATTGAAAATGGTATTAAACCCTACACCGCTAATTAAGTTGTACATTAGATCAATAAACAGCTCCATTAGCGCCATAAATAACACAAATATTTCTTAATTATCATCTACTACATCTAAATAGTTGGTATGGTAGATTTTTTTTTTTTTTTTCGCACCATTTTAATCTGAAAGGCTGTTTGGGACTTTTGAATAACTATTTCAATAATGCAATTGTTAAAAAAATTATGGTATCCAAAGATCATGTTTGATATGGATCTGGGTCATAATTAAATCTTTAGAATTTTTTAATGATAATAGGGAGACAATTTGGTCTCTAGACCTCTTATATATTAAGGCCATTTAGAATTTTGATATAGATCTGGGTCCTAATTAAATGTAGGATGCTACTTATATATATATATATTAATTGTATGATAAGAATAGAATGATTATCATGAATTCAAACATACATCTTATACATTATAACTTAAAGAGATTAATGTGCTATTGAGATTCTGGAATGCCCCAGTCTAGAATTATATTTTTCTTTACATACTATTATAATTATACTGATGTGTTATTGAAATTTTGGAATGCCCCAGTTTAGAAATTCTGGAATGCCTCATCTTATGCATTTAATTATATTTTTTCATTTTGTTTAAGAGTTTGAAATTTTGTCCACGTTTTCAGTTCCTCTCCTTCACCTTTTCCGTTTCGCTTACTTCTTTAAGGTTGGTTAATTTTTTCGTTAATGTGATAAAATTAAATGTAGTAACATTTTTTTTTTTTTTTTTTTTTTTTTTTTTTTTTTTTTTTGGGACAGTGTGATTAGAGGATCGATTGTTGCCATCAAGACTTTGTATGGATGAGTGTGGGCTAATATTGCAATCAAGACTTTGTATGGACGAGTGGGGGCTAATAAATGTTCAAACTTAATAATTGTGTTCTTATTTTGCAAAAGATGATTGCTTCTTTTAAATTTAGTGATTTAGTTTTTTTATTTTTTGTTGACTTTATTAGATTGGTTGGATGATAACTTTTTTGATATTCGTGGTGACTTAAAGTATTTTGTAGACATGGTACTTCCCTTGATGGTTTTGATTTAATGAAAAGTAATGAATTTTGGTTGTTCTATTTAATAAATACATGTTAGGCTCTTCTATTTAATAAGAAGGTTTATAAATTTTTCAACAGCAGTTTTTGGATCTAATGTGCAACTTAATTAACGGTGTGGGGTTTAATACCATTTTCAATTGCAACAATAAGTTTCTTTTACGAAGGTACCACTTTTGTTCTAAAGGTACCACGTTTTTGAACTGAAAGTATCACTTTTTAGTCTCCAGGTATATGTTTTCTAAACAAGGGTGATAAGATAAATGCATTGGAATAGGGAGAAGGGCATTTTAGGTAACAAAAATTTTAAACAGTAAAACTTCATGTGCCATGTCATCATTTAGGTCAAACTCATTTTTGTGAAAATATAAGACTTTGACTCCATCCATGAGTAAATATGGCTCCCTAACTCCATTTATATGTAAAAATCCCTTAATAAAATCTATAAATTTTATACCATGTAAATAATGATATACATAGTAAATAATGATATATATATATATATATATATATATATATAAACAATAATGTGCATCATCTATGACGGACTTAAAATATAAATTCATCACTGTTTCATAGATCATTTTTCATTAATTATTTTCAAGAAATTCACTCTTACAATTACCCTATATAATCATCTATCATGCATTATTGTTAGATCATATTTATTTGATTATCTAACCCGTGAACTAGTTGATGTCCCATCTGATTAAATTATTCAGAGACACTTTAAAGAAAGAGTATGTCACTGGTCTAGAGTTTCTTCATGGCCCTAGATACACCCGTGCCAAACTCCTCACGACAATACCTAGAGTCTCTCCCGTACCCACTATTGGAGCTTCTCACTAGAACTTCTTACACGTTCCAGATAGTTATAACAGTAAAAAATTCTCTACAATTTTAAAGTATTTTACAACACAAATATATGCAATCTTTCCAACATTCTAGATACTTACAACTCTTGCTGCAATACTCCACTAACTCTTAACACAATTTTGGAATACTTACAATGCCACGCCTTCTCTGTACGTGTCACTTGCATGGTGTAACCTCCTTACACAAATATACAGAAACAATTTTAAAGTATTTGGTTCAGTTTTTTAGAATATTTTTCTATAAACAAGGGATCGAAAATCTAAAAAATGTATAGAAACTTGTTTGGTTGCAGTTTTAGAAGACTCTTAACTTAAAATTCAGTTCAAAATCGAGAATTCTCTTTCTATAAATACAACTTATCTTGTTATCCTACATTCTCAGGATATATGTATATAGTTTGAGACCTTTGCAAATGGTAAGAATGAGGGACGTCTAGAGTCACACACACAATCAATTTGAGGCTATTTTCATAATTGTACTAATATTACCGAATTATAACACTTTCGATAGAAAGAGCGTGTCCAATATGATAATAAACAGTTTTCACATTTTGAAATGGACTTCTAATGCCATTGGGTTAAATTAGGACAGAAATGTGTGTTGCTCTCTAAGTGTTTGTATGTAACAGTCCTTTTTCTCAAAAAGGTTAAAAACAATGACATTCTTAAACCCTACCCCCTTCCATTTAAAACAGTATGTAAAACCATTCCCGGTAAATTGACATAAATTGTCGTACAAATTTATTGAGATGTCCCATCAAGATTTCAAGAAACACCAACGCATAATGTGTGTGTATATATATATATAGACCCACACAATAATAATTTAATATTTTTAAGTCAAAGTCTAACACCGAGATATGTGAGTGTTATAATTAAAATCACAAAGAAAGATTTTTATTATGTACAAGGTAAGTGTCATTATTTCTTTAATTAAACACATCAACTTAAGATTTATAAATATCAATTCTTATGTTAGATGGTCTTCAAAACTTCAATAAAAAAGTAACTAAAATTTACTAAAAAGTTATTTTTATTGAATTAAATTGTAAAATATAATGTTTCAGTACCTTTTTAGGTTCAGATTCTATATTTTTTAAAATGATAGGAATGCATCTCTAATAGCTTTGTATATTGGTTTTACAAAGGATTTAGTTCACTATTAAAACATTATTAGAAGCCAAACACAAAAAATAAAATAAAATAAAATAAAAATAAAAATAAAAATCCCAGAAAATAAAAAGAAAAGAATCATTTTTTATGTAAAAAGTTTTACATTAAAAAAAAATTACGAAAATCTTTTACGTGAAAACAAAGGGGCCTAAAACGAATTTCTATAAATTATCACTAATCTGGATATTAGATTATTAACGGAAAGTGAGGAGAAATGGACACCTTTTTCCAATTCACTCCTCTTTGCCACTAAGGCTCACACTCTCAAACTTTTCTATTTTCATTTTATATCTATAGAAAATTTTAAAACTTCTCTGCATAAATTTTTTTATATTTTCATTTTTATGATAGAATTTTGGAATTCTAAAACTGCACCACACCACACTTATCTTTAGCCTCCAATTGATTCTCTCTTTCTCTAATCACTGGACACTTCATATCTTCTTCTTCTTCTTCTTCTTCTTCTTCTTCTTTTTTTCAAAAAAAAAAAAACAAATTTAGCCTCCAATTGATTCTCTCTTTCTCTAATCACTAGACACTTCATATCTTCTTCTTCTTCTTTTTTTATTAAAAAAACAAATTTAATTATATTAAATAAATAAAGCAATTGTATAAAAGAAAGAAAATGTAAATAGTGGGCCCTATCTGGTCCAACCTTGGCCCATGTGAAATAGGCATTACAAAGCGTGAAATCATACAAGGATCCTCCTTAATAGGTCCAATCAAACGAGAGCAAACAAGGCCCAAACTTGAAACCCCAAAAAAGGCCCATAGCAAAGTAGGTACCCCCCTTTTCACAATTTATTTTTAATTTATAAATAAAGGATCAAAATATTTAAGGTGAGCAAAAATGCTCTAAATAAGCATATTTGTGTACTTACGTGTTAAAGAGTTAACTTAGTCCACAAGGCTTTTGCCATAATACATCATACATGCAAATCATGAATTTACATCTCTTAAAAAAAATGTAAAAATCCATATTATAAAATGTGCAATTTCTTACTCATTTGATTTAAACTAATTACCTATTAATTTTTTTTGGAGAATCTAAGTAAAAATAGTTAAAGTTCTAAATAAAATGACAATTTTCATTCATTAATAATGGAAATGAAACGAAGAAAGAAAAAAAAAAAGAAAGAAAAAAAACGTCTACAAATTTCATTCTTTGTTGTTTCGAACCTATGCATGCATTTGAATGGACCAAATGCATGGCCAAACACACTATGGGGCAGTATTGGAAAGGGAGAATGTGTTTAGAAGCACACCCGGAGTCTGGGTGAACAAAGTGTGAATTGGAAATGGTGAAACTAGAAAGAAAAAAAATTGGTTCAATTTTGTAAATTAATTTTCTGCAATTCTTCAAATTCTAATTTCAAAACTCCAATTTCATACAACCGAACATAACCGAAGTATTTTTGACATCAAGTTGGCTTTGCAAGTTTTACTTCTATATCTATTACAAAAGTTTAGCTGAATCCTTGTTGATTCCGAATTTACCAATTTTGTTATCTAAAAGAAATTGAGTCGGATAACGAAATAAGAACGGAAAAAATTAACAGAATCCATTTCAGAAACAAGGAAACGGTTTTGTTAGTTTCTTCCAGCAAAAATATAAAACCATTAGGGCTTTAACTAAATCAATAATTAAGTGTTCCTTATAAATAAATAAATGGTGAGATAACAATTACTGCCAAACCAAGGCAGAGAGTGATGATATTCATTTTTTCTCGATACATGTTCATAAATCTTTCCATTTCTTTCATCTCTTTGATGTTGGCACAACCTCCTCCGCCTCTATTCATGGCGGTGCCAATTATACCAAAAAAAAAAAATTGACTGTATCCTAATCCCAGGCCAAATCAAGTTGCTTCTTCACTACTTATTTGATCGGTCGTTCAATTGATCTATCCTAGTTTTTATTTTTACTATATACCTGTTCACCAAAAATGTATTATGTAGTATTGTTTTGGGTTCAGTTGTAACGTTTTTTTATCTATTTGTAATTTTGTTCATGGAGTTTCTTTGTACACATCCTTGTTCTTACTTAGGTTGGACAACAAGAGGTGGTGATGGCAACATACGGGTATAGATCATTTTGCCTAAATCCGTATCGCCCTATTAAGAGATGAGTGTACACATGCATGCTCCGACCCGCTCCATTTACAATTTTTTTTTGTTTCTTCTTCTGTATTAATAAATTGATAAAATCTATATATTTTATACCATGTAAATAATGATATATATATATATATATATATATATATATATATATATATATGTATGTGTGTGTGTGTGTGTGTATATATATATATATGAACACAATGATGTGCATCATCTATAACACATATATACATTTATATATATAAAAAAACCCATACTAGCCCCGTAACCCGTGAAAGGTTTAAAATATAAATTCATACCTGCCCCTATGGTACATAAACGGTTTTCATACCCGTGCCATTAAGGACGGGACAGGACTTCGACAAGACTATACAAATTATCATCCCTAAACACATGCCCTATTAGACAACCTTAGAGGAACCGGTATGGTTGTTGTTTGGCCGCTCTCTATATTTTTCAATTATAAAATAAGGTGACATGGCACTTCACAAATATGGCCAGCCCAGCAAGCCGGCATGGTGCTGGTAGCCATTTTTATTATTCTTTCATTATTTTTATTTTATTATTATTATATTTTTTTGTAAAAAATTTCAAAACTTATTTTTTTCAATTGTTTGTTTATCTTTTTCCTAATAGTTATTTTCCTAACCACTAACGTTTTAAAAGTTTTTTCTTTCATGAAACATTTGTGGAATAAATTTGATAATAAATAAAGATGTTAAAAGCTAATACCAATATATATATATATACATATATAATATTTTCATATTTGATGTAGTGTCGTCAAATATGAAGGTGAGTGTATTTATTTCAAAAAAGTTATTGTCCTTATTTGTCATTTTTATGATTTTGTAATTAAAGATTATTTATGCATTTGTAATTAAAATGTAAAAATGACATACTCTCCTGTGAATAGGCCATTTATATTCTATCCAAGTAACTTCTTCTTGCTGGAAAGGTAATAAAAACGAGGTTAAGAGCAGCCACTTGGATGATAGTTTTTCTTGAGAATTGATGGTATTTACGATTTTTAGCAATGATGTGACTATATGTACTGTGAGTATCTATGGTGATTAACGCTACATTTCTAACTAAGCTTTGTCATTGCCTAGTCAGCAAGATAAGTAAAAAATTTACTAATTTACACTTTATTTTATCATATATACGAATACTGATTTATATTTTATATTTTTTATACAATATATTATACTCTAAATAAGATAATAGTTGTTTTCTCATTTTGAAAAAATTATAAAAAAAATAAAAATCATAGCCTCTCACTAACATTTATGAAATGCCCAAAATCTTATTTTTGAAATGAATCTGATTTTGTTTCTTTAATAAAATATATATATATATATGTTTTATACGAAAATTGTATGTATAAATTGTTAACTTGATAAATACAAATTTAACTTAAGTGTCAAGTCGCTTGTTTACCCACCAATTCAAGTAGCTTGTTTACCCACCAATTCAGTAAGACAGTAAATGGAGAGGATTTTTTCCCCCAAAATTATGGCTTATAGATGAAACCACATGTCATAGCAATAGTGATTGTATGTATTATGGGCTGCTCTGACGCGCATAATCAGTTTTGTATACCTAGGATATTGTTCCCACGTATCTTGAAAGTCAAATTATATAGCTTTAAGAATGGAATGGTCACAAGAGTATGTAATGAACTTCAATTATTTTATTTCCAAAAAGTGTATTTGCTGTAATCACAAGTTGATTTTTTTTTTTTTTTTAACAGTCAAGAAATTCAAGGAATTTAACTCTAGCAATGATCTTTTTGTAATAAAAAAATTTAAAGATTAAATTAAATTTGGTTGTAATTATAATTTTTGTAGATTTGAAACTAAGGGGCTGCTTTGAGGTGTTGAACAATTGCTGAAAAAATCTGAAAATTTACACCCTTTGTAAGTGTTTCTAGTTGATTTTGTTTGAGTCATAAGTCTTTAACATTGGTTGTAGAGATGGTTTGACTTGATTGTCTCTCTTTTAGAGTCGGTTGTATTTTCAGGTATTAAGGCTTTTTTTTTTTTTTTTTTTTTTTTAATGGTAAAGCAAACACACACACATTTTTGCTCACGCCTAGGCTCGAACCCCTCCCCTCTTCTTTGAAGATGAGGAGGTTATACCATTAAACCAAAGACCCTTTGGTAAGGATTAAGGTTTTTCATTTGAGGATGCTGTGGTATCAAAGGTCAAGAATAGATTAAGGGATTGTGATTTCCTTTACCAGCGCTCATTAAGCGCAGTAATGACTATACACTCCTCGCGACTTCATAAGAAACTCGAATAAGTTTAACTCAATGTCTCACTTTTTCTCAAAAATTCAATCTTTATAAATTAAAAAGGTCTGGTGACATAATAGGTACATTAATTGACGTATTTTCATTCAAAGATTCAATCTTTCCTCATTAAAACTCTTTGTACCTTCAAAGAAACTCAAATAAGTTTAACTAAAAACTCTCATTTTCTTTCAAAGATTCATTCTTTATACATTAAAAGGGGTTAGTGACTTAAAAGATACATTGATTGAGGTATTTTAGTATAAGTAAAAGATCTAAAAATGCCTTGTTTTGAAAATGAACGAAGGTTATCAATCAACTTAGAACAGCATCAACCTCCAAAAAAAAGTCTGTCTTCTTACCCTCTATTCGTAGTTCTTCCCGCAGTTTCTGCTCAATTACTAGGAGTTGTCAATACTCGATCCAACGTAGATCCAAATTCATCCCAGTCCGCTGCATATGGAGACAAATCAATGCGCACTACCTCCAACACATCAAAATAATCAAATTTCAAGTTGTTAGTTGGACAGGTCAACGGCATAGGTGGAACAATCGCAAGATGTTCTTCATTCAAAACTTTTGCCCACGATTCATGCAATCTTCTTGCAAATTCATCGTAAGTATTGCAACCTAACATTTCCAGTAGTGTCTATTAAATCAGGTTCAACTCCATCTAGGACATACATGGGCAACCCTTCATAGGTATCATTTTGACCCTCCCTGCCAATCCTTCCAGCATTCAAAAGGCCACCTGGAATGGGATAGGCTAAATCAAAATATATCTAAGTCCAGTATAAAGTTATATATATATATATATATATATGTATATATATGTATATATGTATGATATACGTAGTATCATATTAGATTAGTAAAGTAAGTTAAAAATATATAATATTAATTATTCTCTGTATGTAACTTTGAGTGCATCACAGCTTTCTATTTCATTGTTGTACACTTACTAGATCCGATGCACGAAACAAGCCAAAAGCTCACAACTCTATCGTTGGTTTACAATTGTCGTACACTTTTGTGCCCCCAACCATATATCTTTCTCTCTACAAGTCCATATCTATAGAAGTCTCCCATGCCAATATTAGTCAAGATGCTCAGAGAGCTTATTTTGTCCTAAGTTGGGTAATCCTTATTGATGGACTCTCTCTTCTTTGTTGTTTCATTTCAACATTTTAGAGCTTTGTCAATGCTCAAACTGATAACGTTAAATTAAAATTGCACAGTCTTCCTTTCATTTTTCACAGATAAAATTAGGGTTTAGAGAGATGAAAAAGAAGAGAGACCAAGTAGATGAATCATATTACACACTATTGTTTCAGAATTTCAGGAACTGAAAAATCGTGTGTGAAGTGACCAAAGAATCTTGTAACTAAAATAATTAGACACTGTGCTCAATAGTATGTCTTCAACTCTAAATTTCCTTCAATTCTAAGTGTTTTAGCTTAATTTGAGTGCATCAACATATTATCAACTTCATCAGTCATCATCACAAGAGTCAACGTTGACATCAACATCCTCATCTAGAATCACGTAATCCTCTTGCATATATATACATTTGATTAATATAACTGAAAAGAGACTTCCTATCATGATTGGTCATTTTAAAACCAACATCACTGTTACAACGGTAAGGGGATTTATATAATTCAATTAGCTAGGCGAAAAAAAAAAAAAAAAACATACCTGTATTCTTTTGCCATACTCCACCCATTCCCATCAACTCTCTTCTTTTAGAAAAGAGACCTATGTTATTAGGACAAAAGAGGAAAAGTTTTAAAAACGTTAATAAACATGTAAAACATATATTCTGAAATTGAATACTAAACTTCCAATTCTTTAATTCCCATTAATAAATTGTTCGAGCATCACATCATAACAATATTATATGTATGTATGTAGAAACAAAAACAAAAACAAAACATAAGTATGTAAAACATGAATAAATAAACGTAATCAATAGCTAAAAATGCTAATAAAAATTTTAGAAAAAGTAAGTGTTTGTACCTGATGACTGAGGAGACATGTTTCTTGAACCTTGTTCTTGCTAAATGTTAAGGCCCGATGATAACACTAAAATTATGAAACACTCAAGTTGTGAGGAAGAGGTTTCACAATCTCACTCATAACAATTAAAACACCACCATCTAAGTACTATATGTATCATGTATCAACCCAACCCAACTATACTTTCAGTCAAAATGTTGAACACCTATCCGTAAAAAGAGGTGTGATTAACACATATTATACTCAGCTCTTATGTTAAATTAATCCAATAACAAAGTACAATGCTTCAATTTAGGAATAATCTTCAAAATTAACAAATCAATATCTTGATATTCTGCATTCTAATAACAAAAGAAAATCAAAAACCAAAATTTGAAAATAAAAATATGGCAGAAAGATTGAATATATCCTTCGTGCACAACAGAGATTGTATTTCTTTGTGGAACAAAACATTCAGGATTTCTCAATGGGGTGGGCTAAATCAAAATATATCAACCAAAATCATATGTCGTTTAATTCAATTTTAGTTAACTACCAATGTTTCTTTAGACAATTGACTTGATTAAGGCATAGAAAATCTTATTTGGGTAATTAATAAAAAAAATTACCAATTTATTTCCGAACAATTCACCACTCAGTACCCTATCCCTTCTTTTGACCAATTTACTAATCCTATTTGAGAATCTACTAGTGGAAGCAGAGTGTGAGGTAGTTCATGGCAAGCCCCTTACAACGCTATGGAATTCACTCAAAAGCATGTGTTTTGTAAGTATTTTAATTTTCAACAAGTAACTTTAGAGCTTTACCCGATATTAAGTACTTTTGCTGGTCAAAGTCCTTGTTATGATTTTTTTTTTAGTTCTGAAAAGATTTCCATCTTCAAAAAGCTTGGCATGTTGATAAAAATTGTTTCAGATTCAATCTATGCAGATTTCTAATCCAATTCAGATTTTTTTTTTTTTTTTTTACATGCCCAGATTCAAATTTAAAAAAAAAAAAAAAAAAAAAAATTTATTTTGCTGAAATAAAATGTAGATTACAGATGATTACCTCAAAATGCAATGCATATTTTGCTAATTTATATTTTAAAAAATATATATTTAAAAAAGATGATAACCAATTAGTCTTTCAAATCCTGCAAAGGGAGATCCTGTTTCAGTCATTATCTTGACAAATATTTATAACCAAAATTCATAAAATAAAATAAAATAAATTATATAAAAAAGATGACAAAAAATTTCACCAAATAGGATTTAGTTTGCAAAACAAAAATTACAGAGCTTGATTAGCATACATACAAGTTAGCAGTTGCAGAGAGAGAGGGGGGCAAGCTTGAGAGACAGCGGCCGAAGCTTGCGAACGGCGAACCCGATCTGGAACAGCGGGCGATGGAAACTGAAAGATTTGGGTTTCCGATATGGGTTTTGAACTTTTGATTCTTGCAGACAGATAGATAAACTGAAATATATGGGTTTTGAACTTCTGATTCTTGTAGATTTTGTAGGTTGCAGTTGCAGTTGCAGTTGCAGAGAGAGAGAGAGAGAGAGAGAGAGAGAGAGAGAGAGGCGCAAGTTCAGAGTGGAGAACGAGAATAGAGATGAAGGCGATTGGTTACTCGGTGAGGCACTGAGGCTGAAATGATTTGCCCTAAAAATATGTTGTTCTTTGGTGACCCAGCATCCATGGGCTGTAAACTTTGAGGCCCTAGGCGACCACCTTTGTGGTCTTGGGTCTAGTCTTGGGCTTATTTAGTTTGGACTCTTATTTTAGTTTGGTAGTTGAGTTGACTTGGACTTAATTTGGTGGACTAATTATATTAATAATTTTTTTTTTTTAGACTAGGTTAAAATTAGTATAGTAAAAAGATTAGAAATAATGGCACTTACCTTCCTTATACATTGTTTAAGTAATAAAAATCTTTCTTATGATTTTAATTATAACACTGACATATTTTGGTGTTAGACTTTGACTTAAAAATGTTAAATTATTGTTATACCTATTGTAGTAGTTATTATTTTTAATGTAAAATATCTTCTTCTTCTTTTTTATTTTTTTATTTATAAACAAAGTAATATTTTTAAACTTTTTTAGGGTATGTGTTGAATTTTAAGTAAATGTTAAATATGACAGTAGACTACATTTTTCGATTTTATGAATGAGGACTGAGGAGTATGTAATGTACAGGAGAGATAATATGTAATTATCCCTCATCTAAAAGGCTTACCAATTTAACTATTAAATAAATGAAAATTTATGTGTGCAACATTTGAGGGGAGGGAAAAATTAATACAGAGTGAAAACTAATTTTTATTTTTATTTTTATTTTTATAATACTACTAATTCTTATTTTTATTTTTATAATACTAAAAAAATGTTAATGTCGTTGTGTGCCACGTGAACAGTAACAACCCTGCACTGCCTGTTAACAATGACACGGCTTAAAATTGGTTTTTCCTACTCTGGGGAAATAACCTCAAATTAATTCTGTGTGTGACCCTACACATCCCTCGTTCTTACCATTTGCGAAAGTCTCAAACTATATACTCATATTCTTTAATTGTACAAAATGAACTAAACAACCATACGTGGACAATGTTGATTACTGGGTATTACTTTTCCAATAGAGAGATGGACCTCTTTGGTTCAGTTTTTGAGAATGCAGGATTACAGAAAAGTTGTATTTATAGAACTATAGAAGAGTTCAAATACAATTCAGCTATAGAAGAGTTCTAATACAATTCAGTTTTTTTTTTTAAATTCATGCCCAGTTTCAAATTTTCTTGTAGACATAATTGACGACGACGACGACACAACAACAACAACAACAAATATTTGTTTTGCTAAAATAAAATGTATTACGGTGATTACCTCAAAATGCAATGCAAATTTTGTTAGTTAAAAAATAATAATAATAATAATATTTAGTTTCCAAAAAAAAAAAAAGACGATAAAAAATTTCACGAAATAGGATTTAGTTTGCAAAACAAGAATTACAGACCTTGATTAGTTGACTTAGAAGAAGAAAAAAATTAAAACAAAACCCATACATACAAGTTAGTAGTTGCAGAGAGATAGGGGACAAGCTTGAGAGTTGAGAGACAGCGGCCGAAGCTTGCGAATGGTGAACATGAACCGGAACAGCGGGTGATGGAAACTAAAAGATATGGGTTTTGATTTTTTGAACAATCTGAAATGATATGCCGATATGGGTTTTGAACTTTTGATTCTTACGGACAGATAGATAAACTGAAATATGTGGGTTTTGAACTTTTGAATCTTGTAGATTTTGTAGTTTGCAGTTGTAGAGAGAGATGGCAAGTTCAGAGTCGAGAAGGAGAATAGAGATGGAGATGCTTGGGGAGGCTGAAATGATTGGCCCTACAAATATTTTGTTTTTTTGGTCACCCATCATCCATGAGCCTATAATTTTGAGGCCCCATAAATTTTGAGGCCAACTGCCTTTGTCGCATTGGGTTAGGGTCGGCCCTAGACTTATTTGGCTTGGGTCTTTATTTTAGTATGGTGGCTGAGTTGACTTGGGCTGATTGAGTAGGCTAATTCTATTAATAATTTTTTTTGGGGGGGGGGGCTGGGCTAAAATAAATATAGGAAAAAAATATATTTTTTTTGTGGGCTCAAGCCCACCCCTACATCCTCCCTTATTCTTCATCATCTCCTTCATTATTGGTGCCAAAATTTAATGGTCCAAATTGAAAGTCCCTAATGTTCAGACTTTCCCTTCCCATCCGTAGTATTTCATGTTATCCAAATATGGTCTAAAAGTGTACCATATACTATAATATTATTATTTAAATATTATGTATCAATATATATATATATATATATATATATATATATTAAAACAATAATAATATATAAAATTTTCTAATAAAATATAATTATATATAGGGCGAATTGCAAAAAAAATACCCTGGACTATTATCCATTTGCAAGAAATCCCCTTATAATGTTTTTGGTAAGAAACCCTCCTTAACTATCCTAATAGAGTGATTTACCTTGCTTTCGTTTAACAATCTTGTGAGGTAATTTTTTTTGACCAAATTACCCTTACATCTGGGCTAGTAGCTTCAGTTGGGTCTTCAACACGTGAGAAATAAAAAAATTTAGGTCTTCTTCCTCACTTTTATAATAATTGTGTAAGAAAAGAGAGAGTAATATATATTAAAAAAAAAAAATACACAAAGAAGGAGCTCCAAAAATCAAACAAATGGAGTGTAGTTCTGTGACGGCCCTGGTTTTTCAAGCCAATGCGTCCTGTGATAATCCGAAGATTGACCCGATAACGGATCCAAATGCAGAAGTAAGAAATAAGACAATGGTCTCCTAATGCACAACACACCTCTAAGACACTAAGGTAACCTTCCATGAAGTCATGGAACTCAAAGAGAACTGACGCGGAAGAAAAAGATCGAAAAAAGATCAAATAAGCCCCCAGGAGCAAAATAGTTTTTTCACATGGAGCCAACATCCCTAGGAATGTATATCATTCCCAAGACTCATCCGTGGCTTCCCATAAAGTCACGGAACTCAAAAGAAAGTAGCGGAAGCGAATGAAATGAAAACCGGACAAATTAAGTCGCAAGGGCAAAATGGTAATTTTTTAAAACTAAAGAATCGAGTGTTACCGAGCACACGACTGGAAAGACAACAAAAAACTAGTTAGGATGGACTCAATAATCGCATGATTCGGAATCCGGACGAAGGAGAAAAGACAAAACAAGGAAAAACGAGCAAATACGGCAAAAGGGTAAACTGGTAATTATCCAGGAAGATCCAGGTGCAACTGAATAGACCGTTGGACAGATGACGAAAAAATAATCGAGTTTAAAAAAAAACTCATCCAAATCGGAGTCCGAACGAGGGAGAAACGAGCGAATGAAGTTTAGTTGACGAAGCGGCAACGGCCAAGGCAGCCCCACAAGCACGCATGCGCGCACAAGGCTGCTGGGGGCAACCCTTAGGGCTACTGTGCAAAATTTTATTTTCTGCCAGAATTGAGAGTCGAAACGAGGCCCGAAACGAATTTTTCTAGAAAAACACGAAGAAGAAACTCTCCTTAAAATCGAGTTTTCTACCCAGCTACGCAAAAAAAAAAAAAAAAAAAAGGACGCTGTGAAATCCACAAAATGTCCCTTGATCAGAATAGGTCAAAAGGGTCAAAAAGCTGCTACATGGACTTTTCTGAAATCTGCCAGAACAGAGAGCAAAAACGGGGCCCTTAATGACATTTTCTGGAAAAACACGAAGAAGAAACTCCCCCTGAAATCGAGTTTTCTACCTGGCCATGCAAAATAAAACTAAAAAAACACTGTGAAATACCTAGAATGCCCCTAGATCAGAAAATGGCAAAAATTCAGAAAATGCAACTTTGCACCAAGTATGCATTTGATCCTAAATGCATTTCTAGGTTGAAACGAATGTGCACGCAAGCGTAATAAATTAATGATTTCAAGCGTGCGGGAATGGTTCACGGCTCCCGAGAAAATTCGGTTCAAAATCCGACCCCCTGACGACCAAAAATGGCTAAAATGGACTTGGAATCGAAAATTTGAAATCCGAAAATATGAAATGGTTTCAAATTACCGTTGGGCCTTTGGCCACACTTTATATATGACTAATGAGACCCTATGAAAGAATAGAAATGGGAATCCCACACTCGAGGCAACCATGGTGAAACTATAACTTGTCATTTTTTCAATATTTCCAATATATTTCATGAAGTCAAAAGATTACATAAGATGTGAAATAATTGTCATTGGCCTCCAGCCTCATCTCATACATGATAAATACATTGCAAAAGGTGCACTCATGTACACATTACATATAATGATCAAGGTTTACAACATATGACAAGATAAACCAAAATAAGGCGTGATGTGCTAACATGTGCACATTCTAGCTATACAAAAATACACCAAGTAAGCATGCAAGCCTAGGAATATTGAGCATCCCAACTAACGTTTCCTTACCTGAAAAATAGCCCCAAACCACAGGGTGAGTAATTCATGATTACTCGTAGGAAATGAATATGCGTATGACCTAAAGGTTTAAAAATTTTGCATGTTGATATATATCATTACATGTGGACCATGCCACCTAGAATCTAAGTCAAGTGGCTTGTATAGGATCATTCCTAAGTCAGGAAGCATAGAAGAACATGAAACAAGATATCTAAGGAAATTAACAAGATTAAAACAATTCAATTAACACGACAAGGATAAGCATGAAATTAAGGATAAAACATAATGTCTATGCATTTAAATAAGGTTGGAACATTCCAAATAACACGACAAGGTTCTTAGATCTTCAAGGAATACACTTGAAATTTAAGGTTTAAATCAAACAATGTGGATACTCGGATATCGCCCGGATTAGAACCGTACTCTTGGGATCACTTTAGGGATACTAACCCATGGGTACCTTCCCCTAGTGCACACTTTATTGTAGGGAGCTCTCTATCTCCCGTACTATAACCAAGTCCTAGCCATATCAAGTCTTGATTGATATTGTCGAGTTTCCAAAATCAACAAGTTATGCAAATCAAGATAGTATCAAGATACAAGTAATACATTAAACCACATTCCATGCACAACCAAGATTTTGAAACACATAAGTCATGCCCTAAG